GTTCAAAAAGGACGTTTTTATTTAATGTAGATTTATCTGGGAGGATTTGGATTCAACTCAATCCCTTAGACAATTCCTAAAATACCCAACGCAAGCAACTTATTTCGTACGTGAGTTGACTTGGTTCGCTACATTTGTAATTATGATGAAGCATAGTGCAGACCTTTCTCTAATGTTAAATATTAGTCCTAAACTTATTAAAGGTACAGATTTGTGCTAGAAATGACGTGAGAATTGCCAAATTTCATAATTACGTTCACAAACTTATCTAATTTTTGAATATTTTTAAAGAATATTTAAGTTTTGCAAATTAACATGGGCATTTTAATCGTATTAGTTTGGACGAGGGCATATCAACATTGATTTAATAATGAAGTTTACACAGAACATTATCCTTTTACATATTCTTTAATCTTACTAAAGTTTACGCAAAAGAATGGGAGCTTTAGTACTGTTTCATACGCTTATAGATTCTTGTAACCATAGAAAAGAATACAAAATTAGGTTGTGTGGTAGTCACAAGGTGATAAATCAGGATATATTGTGATCATCATGTTCCTTTACATGCCTGTTTTTATCCACCCCTGGATGTAGGCCTCCGTTTAGGGTTACTACTCTTAACCGTTGGTGGTAATTGGTGCCCATTTCTACCCATTCTGATTTTGATATCATCTAGTCAACGTTTCTGTGGTCTTTCGCTACTACGTTTATGTTCTTATGCTCCCCAAACAATCAATTTTTCATGTGTATCGATTACATCTCCTATTCTTCTCCTCTGCCTTAACTATAGCTCTCTTAACCCTTAAGGGGTTACATATGTCTTATATTTTCAAACAATCGATATTGCTAAAACTTTGCACAGTTCATATTTACAGTATTGCGTGATTGCATGAAGGAATTGAAAAAAAAAATAAGTTTAAAGTTTTGAAATAAGTTTAAATAAATTTTCGTCTAATATTTTTTAGCATTTTTCCGAGTCTCGTCGCTTTTAAAACATTTTTTCGTATAAAACATTTACTAGCCGACCGATTGAAAATATCTTCGTCCAATCACGAAACAGTCCTATAAAGATGAACTGTCCAAAGTTTGTATGAACTGTGCAAATTAAAGCCAAAAGAGTAAACTGGTATGGACACCTGCAGAGAATGCATGAAAATAGTACCTGCAGAAAATGACTGGAAATAGATGAATAAGAAAAAAGAATGGATATCGCCCACTAGAAGAAAACGAGGTAGAATAAGACTTCCTTAAATCACAAAAATGTCATGTGATTCTAATTTGAAATGACAAATAATTTTCCTTTCCCATATGAAACTCTCCGTGTCAATTACATGAAAGATGCGGTATTCTATATTAGTATTTTCGATATGTAAGTAAGCGAGTAAGCTTTATATAATGTAAAGATAAACAGAGCACTCTTTTTGCTTTCATTCATGTCATTTAAGTTTGAATAGTTTGTTTTGTCACTATCAGAATACTTTGAAGTCTTATTTAGCTTTTGACAGTGAGAGTGAGTCTTGTCATTATTAATTTTTATTACTCCCATAAGAGACGTCATTTTAATATTAGTTAAAATCTACAAATTATGTTGTTTCTTTTTGCAGGTAATGGAGTTTTAATTTAATATTGTACAACTAACAATAAAGTTGTTCGTTTTGCAGAGAAACGCAATTGAATTTTTTTTAATGAAACTTTGCTGATTGAAGAAACATTATTACATAGAGGATCCGCGGTAAATTCGGACCCCTAGTGCAGTTTCGTGCGGGGGTGCTGCAGCCAATGGGAAAACAACGTAAACCTTTCCTTGTCATTGCCGGATGTCGAGGCTCTGCAGCTGTTTTGTTGGGGACTGAGTAGTATGTAGTAAATAATTTAGTGTAGTATTTAAAGTAACGGAAAAACAATTCTACTGCTAAGATTTTGAGTGGGTTCAGTTTTGATTTGGACGTGTTATTTCCTAATGCGCGGACCCCTTTCTAAGTCCGACCCCCAGTAAAAACTTTCCATTATTAAAATCTAATTTAGAATGTTATATTTACAGATTAAAAAACGATGCCGAAGACTACCAAAGAAAATAAGAAGAGGTTGTGGTCAGAGGAAAATATGACAAAGGCTATAGAAGCCACTAGGGTGAAAACAATGGGATAAAAGAAGGCTGCCAAGCCTTTTAAACTACCTAAGACCACGCTGATGCGTTTGTCAATGGAAAAATATGGAGAACCAGCAAAAGCAGCTTCTGTTAAGACAGGAAGGCCTACTGTCTTGCCTCCCGAATTAAAGGAACAGTTGGTTAAGTATTGTTTGATAATAGAATCTACATTTTTTGGTTTGACTAAGCGAGACCTTCGACGGATGGCCTATCAACTGGCTGAAAGGAATGGAATAACGCATCCTTTTGTTAAATACAGTATGGTAGGTAAAGCGTGGCTAGACCTATTCATGAAAAGGCATAAGGACAGACTTTCAATTCGTAAGCCAACAGGAACCTCATTTGCAAAAGTTGTAGGTTTCAACAAAGAAAATGTGTCAATGTTTTTTGGCAATATTGATTCAAAGTTAATGAAGTGGTCGTACAGTAGTTCAGATTAAAGTAGAACCAGTGATTGGTTTCGAGGAAAAAGGCAGGTACGCTCTCTTAAATTAGCAGAAAGTGGTGCCTTAATAACAATTTTAGTATGTATGAGTGCTGGTGGTGATGGTGCATGGTGATATTTCCTAGGAAATACATAAATCTTCAGTTGCAAAAAGGAGCTCCTCCAGATACAGTCTTGCACGTGCAGCCATCAGGATGGATTACAACAAAACTGTTTACAAAATGGTTCGACCATTTTTTGAGCACTACAATACCTACAACTAAACCACCTGTTCTCCTAGTTTTTGACGGGCATTCAAGCCACACCAGCAATATTGACATTATCGAGAACGCCAGGCAGAATAATTTTAAAATCATCTCCTTACCGCCTCATTTAACAAAGTGTCAAACGGCAGAGAAGTCCAAAAAGAGAAGCCTATTGATCTAGATGATAACGGCTGTACATCTGATGATCCTGTTGAGTATCATCAGATGTACAGCCGTTATCATCTAGATACTTCTTCGCACAACATACTAAATGAGGAAAATCCTGAATCTTTTCACCTGGTGACACATTCTCTTTCATGGGTTGCACACGAACAAGCGTCCACCTCAACTCAGTTGGTAGAACCTCCTCCCTACGTCTGCCAATACCCTCATCAAGAAAACTTACAGAAAGATTGTAAAAAGAGCACAAACCTAGCTCTTAGGTCAAGAAACAATTAGATTTTGACATATACAAAGGATCTTCTACTAGAGAAAAGATCATTTGTCTCTGAAATCAGTCTTTTCAATCGGATTTGTTGTAGGACCAAGACAAATACCGGATGAATCGGATGTGACGAGCATGTTCTGCAACAAACAATGGTCCAAGTCAGTGACGGGTGAACAGTGGATCAAATGCCTAATGTGTCAATGTGGGCATATGTTGATTGTACCAGTGCAGCAAAAGACGATTACATACGCGACTTCTGCCAGTAAACTAGATTCAAACTTAAAACAATTATAGCCCTGCGCCTTTATGATACTGTCATATTCACTTCAACTCTGCAAAGTCTAACAAACATACTGGAACGGCTGAATGAAATGTATCATATATGGTATTAAAATGAACTTAAAGAAAACAAAATTCATGGTCATTACAAAACATCCAAAAGACAACGAGACACTCCATATTAATAATATCCAGATAGAAAGGGTAGATAAATACAAATATCTAGGAACATTGGTTAGTCAAAACGCAGAACAAACACAAGAGATTAAAAGCCGTATAGAAATAGCAAGGGCAAAATTTGTAAAAATGAAACATCTATTGTGTAGTAGAGACCTAAGAATGGATCTAAGGATAAGGTTATTGCGCTGCTACATTTTTACAACTTTGCTCTACGGATCTGAGGCATGGACATTGAAAACAACTGGAGATTAAGAAATTGGAAGCTTTTGAGCGTTGGCGTTATCGAAGGATGCTACGAATAGCATGAGTAGACAAAATTACCAATATTGAAGTCCTTGATAGGGTTAATAGGAGGGAAGAAATTGTACAGACAATTAAGAGGCGGAAACTTGAATATTTCGGTCATATAATTAAGAGGTCCTCGTTATGGGCTACTACGTTTGATTATAGAGGGCAAAATAAAAGGTAAAAGAGATGTAGGAAGAAGACGAACCTCCTGGCTACGAAATCTAAGGGAATTGTTTAGTCTTTGCTCTAGCCAACTATTTAGAGCTGCTGTAAGTAAAATAAGAATTGCCATGTTGATATCCAACCTCGTTAGAAGATGGAACCTTAAGAGAAGACACAGTTTATTAATCAATCTATTTTAAAAATGAAATAAAGTTATATATTTATTTAACCGTGAATTATTTCTACACCACTCATAATCCATTAGATTTCTAGGGGGTACGAAATACGAGGAAAAAAAGGGGTCCAAATTTACAGTGCCTTTTAAGTGCCTATTTTGTAAACTTTTGCAAAAATTATATATTTTTAGAATATTTCAAACTAAGAAAAGATATTCCTTAGGAAATGTTAGTTTAGTTTTTTTCTTAAATTGGAATTCAAAGTATTTTAGTATAAATGATATTAAGTAAAAACCAACTGGGAGTCCGAATTTGCCGCCTCTTCTCTATATATAAAATCTAAAACATATAACAATTCGAATAGGATTCACCAAAGTGCTATCAGTATATTACTAGTTATTAAAATATAGACTAGATTTTCAATAAATTTCTCAATAGTAAACTAATAATAATGTACTGTACCTTGTTCAATACATTGTATGGTTTTACAATGAGTAATGTTTGTATTTAATCTGTTCACATTCACGTTTACGACTGATTGTTTTGTTTTAATTCAGTTATAGAACAAAGGAACATCAAAGAGGTAATTCGGTTAAGTAGAAAAGAGAGATAGAAATTTTCCAATTACCTTTAGGCACAATTGGTCCAACTAAAGATTCATCTAAATCTGATTTTCTACTATTGAACATCGACAATTCGCTATCGCCGTCCATTCCCAACCAATTTTCGGCGTTGTGTATGTGGATAAGATCTCGGACAAGTTCCTCATCGGTTTTACCACCGAGGTCGCCGCCCTTTCCCTTCAACGGACCGAACACCTCGTGATTGTACAAGGGATCGTTCACTACAGGATGACCTGAAACATTTTAACAACTCAATAAAGTGTCGATATTTTTCAAGTAATCACAGTATTTTTTAAATATATCCTTGTATTTTTTTATTTGCAATTAATGTGTCCTGACTACTTGCACACGAACACAGTTTACAACAATTGTTACATCAATATAAATATACAGTGTGAATACATTAGTACATTATCTATGCAAGTAAGCAATAAGCAAAGAATAAATAGAGTTCACTAGTTTAAATTAACTGTATTTGTGTAAACATGTATCTTTTAAAAACTTTAAAAACACTATAAAATCAGTTGGGGAAACAGAATATCTTTTGGATTCTGAGTGAGACTGAGAATGACTATAAATGGCAATTGATTGGATCTCCCGTCGTATGTGACGGATTATATTACTAGTGTTATATAGCCGAATCCCCATGTATTGCTTCATATCCTCATGTGGTCAATCCTAGACAGGATGTGAAGCAATGATGCAAAAGATGGAGCACCAGACTTTGAACCTACATAATATGGAAATGATGCTGGAGGTGATATGCCGATAATGATAAGTAGCAACAGCATTAGGTACGGTGGGTGTTAACTCATTCTATCAAAACAGAAAAAATCAACGGACCGCATACAAAAGTGGACAAAATCACCCTCAAGTACATCGATGTGGCAAATACAGCAAAATGCAATGTACATCCCACAAATATGTTTTCAAGACTATTAGTTTCAGTTTTATAGTGTATTTTTATGTATGAGAGAGTAATAAAACAATAAATTATGTATGCAAATCCCTAAACTGTTGATACGGGTGACTCAATGAAAAACAGATATTTGTCAACAAGTTTACAGAAGTATATAGGAAAACAATTTTAAATTGAGTATGACCACCAGGTATAAAGGTTGGAGCAGAATAGAATACAATAGTTGTGAGGGTTACTAATCCCTAAATAAGGTTGCCAATGTCGGAGTGATGGAGGTTAACAGGTACTAATGAATTTGCAAGAAATGTAAGATGTTTATTTTATTGGTTATATATAACCAATAAAAGTTTAATAAGTACCTACCTATTTGCAAAATAAAGTTTAATTCTCTAGATAAAATAAAACGTTTAATTTTATCTGAAATGAGTGCATTCCACGAAGTAAGGGTTTCAACAATCAAACATTTAATTCTTTAATTCCAGGAATCTACGACAGTAATTGACTAGATAATTACCTTCTAAACTTATTCCACAGAAAATGTGATAGTGGGTTTTTCCATTTTTGTAGGAAGGTCCAAGTGGCGTATTCAAAATTCTTAACAGTTCACTAAAAGTAGGTACTTCAGTTGCAAGGTGCAGTTTATTGTGTATACTAGTGTTATGGGAAAATTTGGAAGTGCCGTGTAAAACGCCGAAAAATTGGTCCTTTAACAGTTTAATGAAAAAACATTAATATTTATTGTTTTAAATCATTTACAGACAAACTTTTATGTGAAAGTGTTGATGAGACCGTTGAGTTAGTTAGCAGTACACTTGGTGTTGGGAAATCTACGATTTACAGAGTTATTAAAGAAGAGAAATGTGGTAGTTTTCAAATGCCACGTAATGCTCCAGGGAAACCAAAATTTCTAATAGAAATATCATTTTAAAGAAAGACTTCGACGGAAAAGTGCATGAATTCTTCTTTAGACAAGAATTTCCAACATTGGATAAAGTTCTTGTCTCAGTTCCAGATGATAAGGATTACCCAGAAATGAGTCGAAGTACGTTATGGAAACTTTTAAAAGAAATAGGCTTCCGCTGGAAAAAGAATCCCAGAAAGTCTATTTTATTAGAAAGAAGCGATATTGTCATATGGAGAAGACATTTTCTAAGAACCATAAAGGAAATGAGAAACCAAAAAAGAAAAAATATTTTATCTTGATGAAACATGGATCAACGAGGGTCATACACCAAATAAATTTTGGCAGGATGAAACTGTTACAAGTCAAAGGCACGCTTTTGTAAATAACTTATCTACTGGTTTAAAACCCACCATCAGTAAAGGGACGCAGGCTGATAATAGTACACATTGGCAGTTCAGACGGTTTTGTTAAAAGTGGTTTATTAACTTTTGAATCAACTCGTACCGGTGACTACCATGAAGACATGAACGCTGATGTCTTTCAAGAATAATTCGAAATAATCATTCAATCTTCTTCCTAAGAACTGTGTAATAGTAATGGATAATGCAAGTTATCACTCCAGACTTATAGAAGGACTGCCCACAACCAAGTGGTTAAAAAAAGACTTGCAGAATTGGCTGAGTTTCAAAAAATATTACGTACCATCCCGGATCTATAAGAAAGGAACTTTATTCGTTGTGTGCCCTTCATAAAGAAAAAATTTAAAAAATACGAAATACACCATATCATTGTGAATTAAAACCCGATTGAACTGGTATGGGCACAGATAAAGAGTGAAGTTTCAAGAAAAAATACCACTTTCAAAATTCATGATGTTAAACAGTTGTTTTTGGAGGCCGTAAATAATGTAAAACATGAAAACTGGGAAAAGGCAGTAAATCACACTATTAAAGAAGAGGAAAAAATGTGGAAGCTGGACAATATTACTGATAAAATGATCGAGCCAGTTATTATAAATCTTGGTTCTGAAAGTTCATCTTCTGAATCTGATTTGGATTTGTAACAAGTAGCTGTAAGTTTTATATTAAATATTTTTATTCATCTATCTGACATACCTTAGACGGTTTTAAAAAACTCTTTTTCTCTTTTGTAATTTTTAAAAATTAAAAAAAATGTGAATTTTTTAAAACCCTTTTTAATGTAGGCCAGTCAGTTCTAATATAGTGTGTGATAAAAGAGGTCACTTTTGTTTACATACACATAACACTTTATAACACTGAAATAATTCATTTATATTTTACAATTATTCAAAGTAATTTTTCAATTAATCTTGAGCACGCCCCATAGAGTGGTCGGAGATACCAGTTAAAATTATGCTAATTACTCTCTTGTTCATAAAAATAAACTATAGTTTACTAATCATGCATGGTGGACGCCATTGAAGAAACGGTTAGTCACAATAGTAAAACAAATAAGTAACAGTAAAAACAAAAAATATAATAAAAATAAAAAATAATTGTAAAAAATTAGTGTTTTTTTCTTATCAGCTTTTAAAGGTGATTTTACTTGAAACATACAAGCTTCAAAAATATCATTTAAAAAAGTACAAAAGATATAAATCAAATGATGTCTTACCTAAATACTGAAGATGTACCCTGATTTGATGCATTCTACCGGTTTTCGGCTTGCACAGAATAACACTGGTATGTCCATTATATCCTAGTTTTTGGAATACAGTTATGCAATCTTTGCCTTTAGGTGACACTTTGCACACACCTATTTTGTAACTTACTACTTCTATGGGCTGATTGCACTCGATTACTTCACTGAAAAAAAGTAAATATAGTAAGTAAATAAGGAATAAAGTAGCTGGATCATATAGAGAGAATATATTAGGGCTTTAAATGACGGAACCAAAAAGAAGAGGAAGAACTAGAAAACAATGGCTAACGGCAGAGGAAAATTTAGAGAAGCGGAACGTTAGAAATGGAAATGTTGGGTCAAAGAAAATAACAAAATGAAGGGAGATCTTTAAACAAGCCCGCAAGGCCAGGACAGCTATTATATATAATCGGTTTATGATTAATAATGTCTTTATCTCTTATTTGGACTCTCAACCTGGCTTTTAATTTCAGTTAACGGAGTCGCCTAGAGAAAGAGTATTAAATTAACAAGCATACAAAAAATTATCAGATAACACAGAATAATATGCACTGAATATGACAGAGAATATTATACAGTAGAACAAAAAATGAACACAGTAAGGGACTGTTTGTTGAAGATGGCATGAAGGCAGCAGTGAAAATGGTCTTGGGCGGATGCAGTGTGAGACATGCTGCTGTTCTAAAGAATGTGAATCATGAGACGTTATCAAAATATGTGATAAAAACAAAAGCACTTAGTCAGGAGATTGTGAGATATGCGCTTATATATTCAGTTAGCATAGTTTTCTCAGCAGAGCAAGAGTAGAAACAAAAACTTCCTAATTTTGTGCTACAAAATCTGCTATGGCCTACCAGTAGAAGATTGCCGCCGAGTGTTTATGAAATGGTAGTGATTTATCATCCTCCATCATGAAAAAAGAAGAAATTAGCACGCATTAACTGGTTTTATAATTTTTTAAAAAGGCACCCTAAACTCTTCCAAAGAATCCCTAAGGTTTGCAGTCTATCTCGTGCTACATAAAACATCCAGAATTTGGTTATAGGACAAGGATGTTTAATTTAGATAAAACAGCTACATCAACTGAACAAAACCCCCAACGAATAGTGACTGAGAAAGGTGTCAAGAAAGTGAGCAAAGCCACAAGTGGAGAAAAAGGCGCTAACGTCACCAGAGTATCCATAATTTTTGCACCTGGCAGCACTTTTCCAGTGATAATTTTTCTACGTGTCCATTTTAGGGATCATGTGACTCAAGGAGTATTTAGAGTGAAAATGGCGTTTCAGTTTTGACTTTACCTGTCTTAAGCTTTTCTCTCTTAAAGATTTTCGTAGTTATTCAAAAGCAGAAGAACGAAAAACTGATCGAAAGTGCAGGAACAATGCAAAATTATGATAGCTACGAGCACTCCAGAAATGAAAGACGTTACAGAAAAGAAGAAACCAGTTCCAGTTTCCATGAAGAATGCAGCAAAAGGAGGTTGTTTGGTCCGAAGAACAAAAAATCTGCACAAACAAGGGACGTTGATTCATCGTAGGATGACGATGAAGACGTTCTATATATTTACACAGTCGACGATATGGACATGGATGAGGATTTGTTTGCTGTTGAGCCTGATCACGTTGGAGAATTGTTCCGGCTTCCTGCTTTAGATGATTATGTCTTAGTTTAATTTCATTCGGGATCGATTTCAACAATTTTAACATGGGCTAAATGTAAAATACACTGACCGGCAAAAAAAGTGGCTACCCTATAAATTTCCGAAAATAAAAAATCATTGGAACTTTTATAAACTCTTTCATATTGCGTCTCAATTTAAATATTTATTGCGATTATGTATGAGTGTTTTTCACAGTATTGACGTTTATATTGTTGTTTTCTGTAATCGCTGTTTATCTCATATAAGTTAAAAACATCTATAAGTCGTCTATAAGTTATTTAATTAAACAGTTTAGTTTTTCAAACGTGGATTTCGATTAAGCGAATAATTAAGATATGGTGTTATCTACATTAGATGTTGCTCGAATTATTGCATTACTACAAAATGGAAGAAGGCAAGTCAAAACTTTAGATATTTTGAGAACTACAGTACGGATAGCTTTCCATCGCTTTATAGAGACTGGTACATACTCACGTCGATCTAGTTTGGGTCGTAGAAGAGTTACATCGTAAAGAGATGATCGTTTTATTGTGATGGAACTTTTAATAAATCGCCATTCCACTGCAAATGATGCATGAAACCATCTGCAGGAGATTCGAAATGTGAATGTTAGTGACAGAACGGTCACTCCTCACGCCTCTTGAGAGATTGAAACCAAATTCTCTTTACTGATGAATCGTGGTTTTGTTTGAAGTTTGGAGATGGACGAGAGAGGGTTTGAATATGGAGAAATTAAAGATATGCCCAAGATTGTTGTATGTCCCAGAGAACAAAAATTTGGTCATAGTGGTGTCATGGTTTGTTCTGGAATCTTATTTGAGGTTCAATCTGAACTTATTTTAATTAATGAAAATGCCCCCTGAATGCTCACCAATATACAAAGAATGATTTCGCAGAAGCAGTAGTTTCATTTAGTCCATTTATTGTGGACAATTTCGTGTTTATACATGATCCGCATACTGCAAGGACGTAACAAATTACTTGGGGGAAGTACGAGCTAATACTATAGAATGGCTAGCCTGCAGCCCTGATCTGAATATCATTGAACATCTTTGGTAGCCAGCCAGAAAATCTTATGGAACTTCAAAACACGCTTCGTGAAGGATATGAACGTATTCCGTAAGTTTTTAATCAAAATTTGTTCTGTTCCCTTCAAAATCGTATGCAAACGGTTACTGACGTTTTAGGGCATAATATCCGATATGAGACAATATTGTTCAAGTTCACTGGTAATTTTAATTCATTGTAATTCGTTTCGATATATCGATATTACACTATTTTCTTTTCTAGCCTTCTAATTAAATAAATTATGCCAATAAATATAGCAATAATGGCCATTTTTTGTTTTAAAAATAAAAGATGTTGAGTATACGATATGAAACAGCGCATTAAACTTTCAATGAATTTTTATTTTTGGAAATTTATAGGGTGGCCACTTTTTTTGCCGGTCAGTGTAATTTCGTGTTTGTGCTTCAATAGGACCAGTTGAACTACTCCAGACGCATTTTCTTACTAATTTTAATTAATTAGACAAATAAAGTTTTTTCTGTAAATATTGTTTTTTCAATCGTTTTATGGTACCCCTTGTTCTGTTTTATTGTACCCTGGGCGTGGGCGCAATGAAATAAAATTAAGTTTTTGGAAAATGGCCGCTAACGGCCACAAACAATGCAAAAAATAATGGTTGACGCATTTCTTACATAGACTGGATTCTAAGGTACCAGGTACAAATAAAAAGGTGAAAAAAGTGTCAGTTGTAATAGCTATGAGAAAAACCAACTTTTGTTTCATTGTACCCCAGCCTGCTCCAAGTTTCATATATTTATTGGACACTTACTCAGGAAAGTCTCCCTCAACTCTACAAACGTACTCCTTGGACACTAGCCGGTTTCTGATCTGGTGCTCCATTTGTCTAGCTTTCTTCGGAGTTCTACCGAAGAGAAGAAGGCCACTGGTCAATCGGTCTAGTCTGTGAATGGTCCGAAGGTTTTTCAAGTTGTATTCTTTTGCTAGTATGAAGACTACGGTGTTGTGGCGGTATCTGCCGCATGGGTGCACCTGTAAATAGACGATTTTTATTTACTAAATAACCAAATAATAATAAACAACAGAAAAGCGAACGCTACAATATGCAGTCAAACAAGAAATATTCAAATACGCAAACTTAACATTAAATTGTATTGGTACAAGTTGAATTATATTCAAAAAAGTGTAAGGAATAATTCGGAATTTTCTGGTAAGTATACTTTTAGTAAAAACGATAAAAAATATCTCATTCCGTTATAATATGTGCGAATTAATATAGTTTTTAAAGCTTTGAGATAAAAAAATAGTTGATGAAAATTGCAATTAAATCCCTCTCTTAATTCTCTATATTTTTGCTTTTCTTTTTGTCAGGATTCGATAGGTGAGCATGGCTTAGGCGAGCGAAATGAACGAGGTGAACGGCTCCTTCAATGTTCCATCGATATGGATCTTAGTATAGTAAACACAATGTTTAAACATCATCTATAGAGATTATCAACATGGTCTTCGCCTGGAGGACGTAACAATAATCAAAAGATTATATTCTTGTCACTAAACGATGGAGGAGCTCAATAATCAACGTTAAGACAAAACCAGCTGCAGACTGGTTCCGACCACAAAATGTTATAAACAGAATTTTGCATTAAGTTACACAGTAAAACAATCACAAATAAAAGACAAAAATTAATTTCAAAATACCCGGAAAAGTTTAGAGAAACATCGATAGAAGCTGACCTACCAGTGACTACCGGAGACCATGAGAAAACGTGGGAACACAACTAAACAAAGAAATGGATCACTAAAGCCATCAACAATACTAATCCCAAAGACAAAACAGCTAGAAAAAGCATTGGATGACTGAAGAGACTATCAATCTTGTAAAAGAAAGACGAAAACTAAGAAACATCACATCAAATTCAAAACAAAAAGAAATAGAGATTAGCCCCATAAATACAACTATAAAACACTTTTGCAGAAGGGACAAAAATAATTATATTAAAAACATATGTGAACAACTAGAGAAACATGCTGACCGCCAAGAATCTAGAGAACTTTTCTCAAAAGTCTAGTATCGACCGAGAGAATTCAAACCGCAGACACAGATCATCAAAGATAATAGTGGAAATACCATAACAAATCCAGACGGTATCGCAGAGATGTGGAGACAATATTGCGAAATACTATTCTCTAAGAATGACCCAGACAATAATACAGAGAAAAGAAGTTATGAAAAAGAACCTCAAATATTGAAATCAGAAATTGAGGAGGCAATTAAAAAGCTAAAATTCAGAAAATCAGAAGGAAAAGATGGAATAACAGCTGAAACACTCAAAGAAATGGGAGAATTAGGGACGGAAGCAATGCTTAGAATTTGCAATGAGATATGGAATACCGGAAAGTGGCCAAATGACTGGAGTAAACTCACGTTTATTCCCATATATAAAAAAGGATCACTGACAAATTGCAGTAATTACGGTACAGTAGCATTGATATCACACGCGAGCAAAGTACTTCTAACCATCATAAATGAAAGACCAAACTCAATTCTCTTACCACAAATTTCCCAAGAACAATGCGGATTCGTCCAAGGTAGAGCAACAAGAGAACATATTCTTAATATTCGTCAAATTATCGAAAAATCTCGAGAGTTTAACATAGAAACATATTTATGCTTTGTTGACTACTCCAAGGGTTTCGATGTCGTAAGATAGGATAAAATGTGGCATATACTTAGAGAAATGGACACGCCAGTAATCTATTTATTATAAACACTATATGTAAATAATACTGCTAATGTAAGAGTTAATAATGTGGTTTCGAAAAACTTCAAATTAAAATCTGGAGCTGGACAGGCATGCGTAATATCCCCTATTCTATTCAATATATATAGTGAATATATTATGCGCCAAGTTTTTGAGGAATGGCAAGATGTAGCAACGATAGGAGAAAAAAAAATCAAAAACCTACGATATACTAATGACACTGTTATATTGGCGTCATCAGCAGAAGAACTAGAACAAATTATGCATAGGCTAGGTGCACCGTGAGTACGGAATATGGTTTGAATATAAATATGCAGAAAACCAAAGTGATGATCATCGATAGAATCAGAAACAACCAGGCAGAGATAAGAATTATGGCAGGTTACGAAGTGGTCAGGCAATTTAATGACGTAGGCTCCGTTATTACTAACAGTGGAGGATGCGAATACGAGATCCGTCAACGCATCACAATGGCCAGATCTTCAACAGCCAAACTCATAAAAAATTGGAAGAACATTGACATCACAAAATTATGCCTTGTTCGAGTATTGATATTTCCTATCGCCACCTACGCTTCAGAAACTTGGACAATAAAAAAAACCGATTCAAAGCGTATAAAGCCATTTGAAATGTGGGCCCACCGTAGAATGTTGCGCATACCATGGAACGCCCATCGCACAAATAACTCACTTCTAGCAGAACTCAACATAAAAACTAGGCTCATCACAACTATCAACTAAAATGTACTGAGATATTTTGGACATATAACTAGAAGAAGAAAAGGCATGGAGCGAATGATAGTTGAAGGTAACGAAGCGGGAAAAAGATCCAGAGGAAGATTTACAGTACGATGTTCGGATCAAATAAAGGAGATGACTGGTTACTCATTCTCCGAAGCAAAACAACACGCACAGGAGAGAAATAATTGGACAGAAATAGTCTAACAAATTACATGACGCCACTACATCCTTACTAAGGAGAAAAAGATTGAGGAGAAGGATATATTTTTTCAAGTAGAATTTTTTTAAAATTTTTCCAAATGGGCCGGAAATTGTTATTAATAAATAACTTATAACAAAAATCAATTTCCCGAATCGCTTCGAGTAAAACTTTTTAGGCGTATCTTTTCGAAATAAATAGTATTTCTATCTTGGCAATTTTTCGAAAAATGCTTCTTTTCCGAGTTATTTGCAATTTTTTGTTGAAGTCTTTGGCCGAAGCCTTAATTAGTGATTTTTTTCTAAAAAACTACTAAATTAATTTCATTTCTACAAAAAGCTTTAAAATTTTTAAACTGTCAAATGCAAGTAAGAATTACAAAGTGGATTAGACGCAGAAAACATTTAGTCGGTATATTCCGTTTCAAAATGACTTTTTAGGGATAAACCGATCGCCTATTAGAACGAGTTTCACACACGAGAAGTAAAGACAAGCAGAGAAATTAAATCGATAGGCATATAAAAAAGCTGTAAGTGATTTTACAAATTGAAAATAATTTTATATAGTCGTGTTCTTAATTTAAACTTTAGAAAAAGAGTCATTAACTATTACAAGCCTGTTTATGAACGAAAATCCAGAAGTTTAACGTAAATCCTAATAACTAGTATCAAGGATTTAAAATAGTATCATAAGACAGAAAAACTATAAAAAATTTCAAAAAAAATTAAAGTTGAGTCAGCATTTATTTTCCCAATAAAAGAAAATTTGGCATGCAGACGACAGGGTCTTAGCCACGTACCATAAATCAATACAGACTGCTGAGACTACACAGGGCAAAGATTTGCATATTTTTGGGGATAATAGTTTGTCAGAAGATTTTCGTCGGTAGAAGTTGTACATATAAGTAAATTGAAGTAATTTGTTTCATTGTACTTAAACGTAAACATAAATTCGCTATTACGCCAAAAGCTAAACAAATAAATAGATCCGAATAATAGTTTAAGATATGACAATAAAAATAATATAAACCTCTAAATTTTTTATAAACATCGATTTTCTTGAATTTTTACAGTAGTTAAAAAATAGCTCAAAGATCAAAATCTACCCTATGGTAATATGTGCCTCCTCTGGAGTTGTTTCCAACTCGGGGGTGGAAAAAGTTTATCACAAAAACCATGATAGTCACTAGAATAGTGAATTTCAAGACAAAAATGCTCTTTGGGAGTTTTTCAGAAAATTTTAAAAATATTTTTGGAGTAATTCGTAACTAAAGCTCACAAATTAAACGTGAAAAAGCATGCTTTTAAACAGTTTTTCGCGAAAATTTTTTATATTTTATTTGGAAAACTGTTATAAACGGATATAAAATGAAACATAAAATAAAGAGATTCGTTTTTTATTATTGCCGTAAACTTTATATTAACTATTGTATTTATCGAAAACAAAGATCCAAACATATGTTATTGAATAAGCGGAAAACAGCAAGTTTTTCATGGAAAGCTTGTAGAAACTTTTTTAAAAATCTTAAAAAAACATCTAAAATTGAAGCATTTGCAATTTCATTGATTTTTTGGTGTATATTGAAATCCCCTCGTATATGTAATATATTGAAATCCCCTCATATATGTTTGAAAAATCGAAGAGTATTTTTAATGCATTTCAGTTTCCTATCGTACAAGTTGAAATACGCAAAAAGTATTTTCAATTCTTTCTTGGGTCGGCCAAGTAATATAAACCATTTTAGAGTTGTTTATTATTTTAAAGATGTGTACTCTCTCGGCATTTTCTTTTAATGTTTTATTCGAAGTCGTCTTATAATTTTTGTACGTCGTAGAAATATAATCTTCTGCGTTTTAATTCCTGTCAAGTGTTTGTTATTCCAAGTTATGTGAACGAATTCTTAAGATAATTTCGTCATTCTTACTTGGGTCGCTGTAGGCTCAGGTATGAATCCAAGTTCATCGTCGAATTTGTAGTTTCCTGTTTTTGCCCCTTTTTATGGAAATATGTAGCAGTGAAAAGTAGTTTTGTAGCAGTTAATGGCACAGTTAATTTTTTGAGTGAGGATTGGAAGAATCGTCGTTTCCATCCTCGTTTTGTTTCTCCCTGGTTATCATCCAAGGCTTTTTGGCAGTTTGGAGATGGAGTTGTTCGTGTGTTCGTTACGCAGAGAGAGTGAAGCCCCCAGTTCCAGTTATGGTTTCGGAGGTTCCAGTGGAGTGTGGTTCCAGAAATTTTAGTGCAGTTTGGTAGTGAAAAATCCAGGTAACTTTTTGATCAATTTTTGTAATATTAAATATTGTAAATTTTGGTTTTGACTTTAGCTGTTAT